CTTTATTTCTTTTATTTCTAAGTGCGCAAGGTCGTGCTTTCAGAAAACAGGTGGGACGATTATGTAAGACAAAATGATTATGCTAGCCGATGTAAAATCTACGAATCTAGATGGCGCCTATAAGTTTTGTCTGCATACTTCTGAAAGTTGTCGCCAAGTATTCGTTGAAAACATTGTTTTTTTTAAATGAGAGGTGGTTCACTGTTCTCTTGGCTAGACTCTAGTGGCCGAGTGTTTTCGACTGCAGTAAAATCAAAGCGCTGCGTAACGGCGGCGTCGAGAAGCTCCTACGACCGTGTAACTTTGCTGCTTGGTTCTCGTCGACAAGATAGCTTTACGCGCTTACTACTTAAGATCAACTAAGCAATCACTGTTAAGCGATGTCACATCTTAATAAAGGATGAAAAAGGATATTAAAATATCTTAATAGTGAGCTAATATCCTTCACCCGCAAGATGAAAAGCAATAGATCCCAGCACTTTTCTCCATCCAAACTTGTAGTTAAAGCCACCAACTTTAGTACATTTATAAAGTAAAGATTGCCGCAAAAGTTTCCCCAGCAAAAAAGAAACGTAATTATTTTGTATAAACAGTCCGCCTTTTATTTGGATGTCAAATATAATATCATAACCCTATCTCTTTAAAAATCCGCCGATTAAACGATCATTACAAGGGTTGTCAAATTTGATTATGATGGCGTGCTGATAGGCGTGCAAGCCCACAATCACGCCTGCCATATACTAAATTACATGAAGACCTAGTTTTTGCGCATCACCAATAAATTTGTCGTTCATAATTAGTCAGACAAAACGTCAACACTGCACAAACATTATTCACTCTCCTCTTCGTTCAGCATTAGCTTAAATTCGCACAAACGTGTATCCATGTTTTAGTCCCTTATTACATTCTTTGTAAGTTGCCTATCAATACAATTTTTAGAAATATGATAAACGCACCCCAATTTAAAGAACTCTATTCCCCGCTTTTGTCGACATTTTTAGCCGAAGTCTAGTCGGGTCGTGTTTTGCCCACGGTGGAACCCTTATCCGCACTTCGACGAAGTTCCAAACATCAATATGTAGCTGCTTTATAATGGGTGGCCAACCTACGGAGGGGCTTGGGGATTTTCTACCCAAAATAAACCAAGTCTAGGTTCGTCCACATGAGCTATTTGAGCTAACGAAAAAAAAAAAAAACACAAAAAATATCGCCTACAGGATTTATTTTAAATGCGCAAACATTTCTTTCGGTACCGTGAGGCCGACCTCTCCTTGGATTATGGCTACGTCAGTTTACGTGTTAAAGGGGTACTCCGGCGATTTTTTCAAGCTACGTCCAACAATAACATTTTCGGAATCACCGGCCTATACTTTTTCCGGTAGACTATTTTTCATCGCGAAATTCGAAATAGTTATTGTGAAATTGGCAAGTGAAAGGTATGCCGAAACCAGCATTCAATTATACCCGCGCTTTTCAGTGCCATGACGTCAGTGGCAGGCAGGCTTGCAGGTCGAGCGGCCAGCCTAAAAATGAACTATGCCCAGCATTTGTTTCGTGCTGCAGCGCGGGTGCTGGAAAGAGCTCCGAAAACAATCATTTGATACCATGAGAGTACTTGTAATCAGTTGGGAACAGAGTCTACATTTCAAAGAGTGAACCCCTGCCTTCCGCTGACGTCACTTTTTCGTTGTTGCCAGCAGATACTTTCACTTTGAAAAACGCGGTGAGGACCAAAATTGTAAAGTAAATAAATTAGCGAAAGTGTTCATTTGTATGTTGGCCCAATATTTGGGTTACTATTTCAGCGATGTTTGTTTGTGTGTTTAGCGAATTTTCAGAAACATCGGCGACTATGAAGAAAACGCCGCAGTACTCTTTTAAGTAAGCAATTTAGCCAGTGAAGTATAATTCCTAACCTTTACTAACACGACGCCACGTCGATGTGCACTTAACTTTATTAATTCTTATCCCCAGCTTGCAAACCCCACAGCGCAGAACGCTCGTGTTAATCACTTCGGAAAGCAAGTAAATTCGCGTCACATGCGTGAACGCTGATAATGGCACCGGCCAAAAGTTCTTTCTGGACGGTGGAAGAAAGCTGTGTGGGACAACAAAGCAAGCTATTGTCGCCGATTGCACGTCCACTCTGAGCGCCGATCAAGGTCACGCACAGACCGTCCTCGCTTCGGAATTTCCACTCAAAGCTGTCCCCGGAAATAATGCGCCGAGACACCAACAAAAAAAAAAGAAAAAAAAAGAACATTAAGCGGATGTTAAATTGGAGTTATTTCATGCAGAGGAGGCGTTGCCGAAAGCGCGAAAAGACATGTCAGATTGGCTTGATTTTCAAAGCTCCTTTTGCCAAACCAGACGGGTGGCACCATCTAGGTTTGGAAACACGTAGAGGCTAAAAATCGGGTTTTACTCCTCGTGTGACTGCTTACGATTGTCTGCGCAGCGCTCATAAGCAGTCGCAGTAGGCCCAAATTGTTTTTTTTTTGCCTCTCCGGTAGTAATTACCCTCGAGCCCGGTTATAACGAAATAGTGGCTACAGCGAAGTGATCACGATTTCCCATTCTCTTTGGCACTTCGTTATAACTGAAGTCGGTTATAACGCAATAGCGGATATAGCGAAGTGATTTCCGATTTCCCTTGTCTTCGTTATATCCGGTCTCAACAATAGTAGCAATTGTGTGAACCAGCCTCCGGCCTTTAATGTGAAACTGAGTAGGTTTGACCCCCACCATGCTGCAATGACGTCAAGCGCAAGCCACGTATTGCAACGTGTTGACGAGGGAACGGTGGATGATAACAAGGAGGGTAACGAAACGAGCAAGGAACGACACCTTGACGACAGGCGAACACGGGATGTATTTTCGAACCAACTCAATATCGCGAGCGAAGATGACGAAACAACAAGCGTTCGCCCGAGCAGCTCGGCGCCTTCAGAAATCAGCGGCAGCAGCGGTTCCGAAGGAAGAGAAGCGGCCGAGGCAAGGCGGGAAAGGGAGCCGAGATTGATGCCTTCCCGTAGCGTGAGTTCCCCTTGTTTATTTTCTTGTTCTCGCTGGGCGCCATCGCCGATCTGCGCCTCCAGTGTCGCGGGCACAGAGGGAAGAGCCAGCCAATTTCCGGTGCCGGGCTTATAGCCGCGTGGAAGCGCGAATCGCTCATAGCGCGCTGCCCTTGGCGAAGTTGGCCGCCCGCGCGTCGTCTTCCACCGGAGGGACATTGAACTCGAGATCGATTGGTCGACCGATCGCTCGGCCGTTCGCGCAGGTAAGGCGGTTCCGATCGGTCGACAAGTGCGCCGATAACCAAGAGGGACACCATCTGCATTGTCGAGTACCGCAGAAACAAAGCGACCCTTTCTCGTGTTATGAACAAAGCCCTCGATCCGCGTTCACGTAGTACTACACGGGGAGAGTTAATCCTGCTTTTTTTACGGAACTGAACCCGCCAATGACGAGGCACAAATAAAATTTAAACCACACAAAAACAAAAACAAAAAAAAAAAAAAAACAACCACAACAACAAGAAACATGATCGGCGCCGAGTTTGCTCGCTAAGATTCACAACCCCAGCTCAGATCAGTGTTAGGCGATCTACCGGGATTCTCGTTTAACAATCGGTTTCTTAATTTTTAGTACGATACTAATTTATTTTTGTTATTGAACTATTCATAGTTTGAGCGAAGTTATGATTGTGCAAGTGCAATATAACCAAGCAAAAATAAATTGATAAAAAAGAAAGAAAGCAGGGAGAGCTGTTATTTTCGACATCCGGTTGATGACATGTTTTTATATCTTGAAGACACGAAGATTCAATAGGTGTTTGTAGAGCTATGGCTTGACTAAGAACCTTTCATTGATTTGCTGGCCACAGTTCATGCATTCATTAATCCGTTTACCAGTGTAATAACAAAAAAATAATGGTTAACAATCGCAAAAATAAAAATATAGTGTTAATTGGGAAACATGTCTTGGGATTTTTTTTTTAATTTGCGATGCGTGAACGTACTGTTCCTGCATCGCAAATTTAATGAAGAAATTTAATTTTTTATGAAATTATTTGTCATACATTGAAATATTATGGCAAGTCGGGGACAATGAAGAAAACGCCGGAGTACCCTTTTAAGGAGAGGACAAAAATGTAAACACATTTTCTACTTATGTCAAGTTGCAGCAGATACAAGGCTCTTATTTAATTAAATAAAAAGTGTTGGATATGCGTTATTTTATTTTTTGTGTTGGTGTCTTCTGTCGACGTTAGGTAGTCATGGGCATTCCGTATTGTGATGCATATTTAGGCAAAGAAAGTTTTCGATTGAAAATATGACGTACCGAAGGAGAAGTCTTACCAGTGATTAAATAAATGATGTTTTAAGTTTGACAGCGACGAAAATAATGCCCGCAGAAGCCGCACTGAAGGGCCTACTATAGACCAATTAATTGGTTAAGGAATTTATCGGCGATTAAGTTATTAATCGGATTAATCCGTAGACTTAATGAATTAATTACACAGTTCTAGTATGCGACGAGATAATGATTCGTCGCCGATGTTCTCGTCGTGGCGCTTTGCTTAAATGTCGCCAACTGTAGTGCAAAAATCAAAACGCTTCTTTTTTATGTCCTAATTTCAAAGCTAAGTTGATGCTTTTGATTCTGCTTTTTTTTTGTAATCTAAGCTCGCGCAACAATAAATTAGAACAACGTAAAAAAAATTAAATAATTAAATTTTGGTTGGCCGTCTTTTTAAGGTTACTGTTCTCGCAACCATGCAGACAGTCTGTCAAATATTCCCGTTCAAGATCTAGTTACCATTATACACGATGAACTCAAGGTAGAAGAGGGATACCAAAATTGAATATTCCAAGCTCGACAGTGAGTGCGCCCGAACGATCTGAAGGGAAACGGTAGTCTGCACCTCCAAGGCGACCTCTAAAAAGACGGTTCACAATACGCCGTAGACCGGTTCCTTAACAAGGGTGGTCACGTACCTTGCATGTTGCGCAGATGGTTGTGGGTGTGAGCGTCTAGAGCATTCTTGGGCATAGCTGGCAGGGCGCCGTGTGGGTAACCTGACGGTGAAGAAGAGAAAGAAAACAATCAGGTTGAGCGAGGCAACCTGGGGCAAGAGAAGAAAGCCGAACTTTGTGCACCCTGACGTTGGAGTAATACTCCTCTCACACAGGCATTTCAAAAGGTGTTTATACCGCAGGACGTTAAAGTAACAGATAGGAAAATGGAACACGTAGATTCGAGATTCCGATTTGGTTCGCCACTCCCCCAAATAGGGTTTGGCCAAATCCCATCTGAAATAATCGTGTGCCAGAGGTGATGATGCTATAATACCATATATGACCTCAAAGTTTTATGTTATACCGCGGATCTCGGTGACGTATTTCGAGGGACGTTTCAACAACGTGTGAGAGACACCGGTCTGGTAATGCTGCATGCCCTCGAGGCTTTAGGATACCGATCATGGCTTTTTTGTAAGGTTTTCTTGGTGCGGCCCTTTGGCGTTTCGGCAAGAACAAGGAGGGAAACAAAACCAGAGTATGAACGACAAAGCTCCACTTTATTCCCATTGCACCCTGACCAGGCGCGTAGCCAGAATTTTGTTTTGGGAAAGGGGGGGGGGGGGGGGGCCCGCCCATGAAAAAAAGCTGTAAAAGGGAGACGGGGGAGAGGAGATCCCAGCAAAATGGAAGATTTCTGGCTACGTGCCTGACCTTGACACATTGACTGTTTAGCTCAGCTTTGTGTTTTGTGAGCGTAGACTCTCTTGGAGTATGAATGGTACAACAGACTGCGAGTGTAGCTATTTCGAGAACAATCAGTAGCTTCAATTGTGCAAAAAAAGTGTGCCACGTACTTCAAATATTTATGATGTAAAACATACAGGGCGTGGCTCATGATGGCGGCAATTCGTTCCTTCGCTACTACTTCCTTACTTAATTGGCGATTCTTCGATCCTGCAATCTGCCCATGGATAATGGGATGATCAGGTCAGGTCACGTTTTATCGGGATTTGGCATCTGAGAGACTTTAACGTCCTTGGCCTTACTCGCCAGAATGCAGAGACCCAGAAATTTTATCAGAATAATGATGCTACCAGTGAACTGTGCAAGATTATGGTCATGTAGGAAAAAAAATGTTTTGGGGGTGAGCTCGTATCACAATTGATTAAAGGCTCCATCTTTCTTTGTTAACCGAGATAAATAAACTAAAATGGACGCATTGGCTGCCTCCTTAACGGTTTCGACCGACTCCTTTGCATTTTGCAATAATCTCATAGTACGTTGTCTCGGTAAAAAAAAAAAAAGATAGTGGGTAAATAAAACCAAATAAGGAAAAAAAAAAAAAGACAAACGCAGACGGCCCTTCTTTGGGCGAGGGTTGCCTTGGGGATAGCTGCAGTGTACAGTCAACGAAGCCTAAACCCGGCATAGGGGGTAAAGGATGCGTACTACTCCATCGGAAGTAGTTCATTCTATCTCTGATCAAATTTTCTGCTTCTACGCCTCAATAAACTCCGCCACCCCGGATCTCCAGTCGAGGATTATCGTGCCCGTTTTTACGTTTGTTGTTCTCTTATTTGCTCGGGATGTCGCGAACAGATCTACTAGCACTCGATGCCGAAAAAAGTGCCCGGGTACGTTTCGGCCAGAAGAGTGGCGGGGGGATTCTTTCGAATCCGTTCGCGGAGCTCTCCCATCCACGACGCCAGCGGGACCCCCGCCTCGGTACCTCAGTAAACGACCAACGTGGGCTCCCGTAACCGAGCCTCCTCCCTGTGAGAGCGGAGTGTGCGCCGACTGGCGTTGCTCCGCAGAAGCGGCACGGCAATACAAGGGACGGAGTCGAACGCCACGCGGCACTCGGGCCGCACGCCCCAGCGAACACCGGGTCCGGTAAGCGTGCAACGCACTCCTATCTCTCGACGAGGACGGGCGCTTGAGGTCCGCGCGAGGCTTCTGCTCGTAGCGAGCAAAGGTTCCCCTTCCAGGGCCCCCGGCCCGGGTCAGAATCGGGCACGAAAGACCATCGGGGGAGAGTCGCGTCTCCCTTTGTCCGCGGCTCTCTATCTCTCTTTGTTTCCACTCGAATGGGGCCGAGCGTACGGAAGCTTAAAAAGAGAAAAGAAACACAAAGAAATAGAGTTGTCCCTTTCCAAGTACACGATCAGTATGATTCAGTCAAAATATGGTAAAGAAAATATCAAACAAAAACTCGGGCGGTCCCGGATGCATAACTGGCGTTTGCAAGCGGGCAAACGAAAATAAGTTGGTGAAAGTAATGTATACCTTGCTCATGCGTATCCTTAATTTTCACGACTAATAGGTGGCTCGATGGATCCTATTAAAATGACTCTTGTTTATGGGTTACCGACGTAGAACAGCTGTACAAAGCTAAATCTGTGACACGTAATTCTACTCTCTAAATATAAGCGGTTTTAGATAACCTTTCATCGTCTTTTTATACCAGGAAAGTCTAAGCAAGCATCTCTATTGCGTGGTCTATCAGCCACAAACTAGGGAGCGCAAATTCGTGACTGAATTCAGCCTTTGCCGTTTAGTCACAATTGGCGAACGTTACTACAAAATAAGAAATCTTATAACACGTTTTTTTAAATGTTCACATATGCTGCACAATATTCAAATTTGTGAACAAACGCTTTTTAGTTCCGGGAAAGTACTACGGTACATGCGCGTAGAACGCATCAATGTAAAAAGACAAAAGTAAAACAAACGAAATATTTGCGAGCGCAGCTGTACCACGCAAAAAAATCCGGCGTCGGCGTCGATGGGACCAAAAAATCCCATAATACAACGGGCAGAGCCACGTGTGACGTCACATGTGACGTCACTCAAAATTTTACGCTAAATTTAGCGGAACATTTTCTCGCCAAATTTAGCGGATGCATAGGGTCATGATGTCACATCCACGTGTGCCGTCATGCATCACGTGGCATGAAGTAACATGTGACCTCACGTGACAAGGCTTTGCGAACGGGGCCCGATAACGCTATCGCGTTCCACTCTTAAAGGCGAGGCTTAAGCGTCCTCCAAGTTTTCTATCGGCGTATATTGACAAATTCAGCAAAACGCTTTCCGATTTTTTTCTTTTTTTTTTCTACAGAAGCGACCGAGCTTGCTTTTACTTCAGGATATATAGCGAAAAAGATTGCACCGAAAGACTAACGCATAAGGCTGGAAAAAGCGATTGAAAACAAACGTTTGGTATATCTACAAATGAGACATGGAAAACGAACGAGCAAGGAACAGCTTGGAAAATACTGAGACCGATGAGCACACTCGTGACACGAGGATTCGCGTAAGGAAATCGCTTTGCGAAGTTCTGTCCCGCCCGGACCCAAACTAGCGCTGCTCTTAATTAAAGGCAGAACGTCTTTGTTGAAGACAGTCCCAGCCAGTTCACTAATATAGCTACTGACAGTAATATATATATATTATAAAAATAAGATATGGAGCTTTCCCTTTGCTGGCTCCGTTGCGAGTCCGCTACATTTCGCGGAAACTTTAATGCGCCTGGACAATCGAGGCTCGCGCAACGCCAGAACATCATTGAAGGTAAAAAGCACGCGGGCGAGGCAGCACTGGTTAAAAACACCCTCAAAGAAGAAGAAAAATGTTTAACGACTATCAATAAAGTTAGCAGCAACCCTCCCTGCGATGCTCATTGGTTGCCTCGCATTCAAACGCGTGTTTCGCCAGAAAAAATGGGAGAGCTCGTGAGTTTACGGGAGTTTCAGTTCGAAGAAGGGCTAATGCAGGAATTAGAGAATCCCGCGAACGTCGGGTGAAAAGGAAGAGGCCTTTCAGCCGAAAGAAAAGTGCTCTCGCGTGGGTCCGCTTTTTAGGACGAACACCGTTGCACAGTCCATCGTCTGTCCTTTCCCTTTGTCGGCCAGACGTGAAGGGGGAAGGCAGAAGAAAATGGCGTCGACGGATGACGGCGGCGCCCCGGGGCAAGGTGGCCGTCGGATCACGTTTCGGGCTGCACCCGACGCCAACCGGAAGTGTGCCTCGGGTAACGGAAGTGGGTCCCTGTGACGTCACGCGACTCCATTAAGGCCGCGGGGAGAGAGGACCATTTTGATCCGGTTGGCGTAATCAGGCTTCATTAGGCGAGAGTGAAAGGAAGGGAGGTTGGAAGACGAGGAGGCGAGAGTATCGACCGCCGAGCGCAAAGAGCAAACGCGCACCGCGTTGCGACGGTTACGGCGAGCACCTCCGAGACCCGACGCGTTGGTCTTGGCCGCGGCCTCGTTTCCCAGTCGGCCTTTGAGGGAGTCAGCAGTTGAATCCGCCGTTCAAGAGGCTTCACTGGTCGCATTTGTGGCCAGCGGCCCGCCTTTACGAGCACGAAAGGAAATGGGGTAGTATTCCGTGAGTGCTCAGACTGGCAACGAACAGATAACCGATCGTGCGCCTGATAGAGCCACTGTAAACACGCTAGGCCACAAAGTAACGACAGCTAAGTCGTCTTGGTGCCTAAAAGTATTGTTACCAGTTGTTGGAAGTTCTATGTGATATCGCGAGAAATGCCTTTCCGTCCTCCAAAGATGTCAGAACACTCCGCGACAGAGTAAAACTATATCACCTGATCTCCCCGAAATCGTATCTAAACCTCAGGATGTGGCATTTTCAAATCATAAAGATCGCCAATGACGCCCACTCTGCACGAAGCACCAAAGGGAGAGTATATAGCCCCGAAGGTAGTCGGGCAGTTTAATGACGCTACTCTAAGCGTAATTTATTCCGTGACTCTAGCGCGCCCGTGTCTCAATCGGAATGCCCATTCGAAATCCTCCGCACAGCATCAGAACGGAATTTACAAATGAGCGAACACCAATGTGATCAGAGCATTGCTGCGTTATCCGAAGTATCCGAAGAACGTGTATTCAGGGTGTTCGGCCTGCTTCACAATTTCCGAAGAAAGGCACAAATCCATCGCGGGCTTAGTAGGCGCAGCGATGTGCAAAACTTGCCAAGTCTCAACAAGCTCCGACCATTTTGTTTTATGTCGACCCCTCTGTTTGGTGTTATGTGCC